TGTTTAAAATGTTAATTTGTTTTAAGTTCTTACAGTACATTTATCACAGAAGAGGAATCAAGGGGTCACTTACAGAAATAACACTGAAAAGTTATGTGGATGGTTTTTATCCTAAATACTGACAAAGCTCGTCATGTTTCCAAAAGATAACTAGAAAAATGAGTCACCAAAAATGGACTCGCAATCACAGGACAACCGGCGTTATCTAGAGATAAATAAGTAAAGAGCTCCAAAAACTACAGCAAATGACAGAAGATTAATTAAATAAAATGTATGGATGAATTTACGCTCCATTAAAAAAAAGAATTGGACAGGAAAGAAAAACAAATCATCGATCGTATTTAGTTGAAGGAAATGTTCACAATAATCTCGCTGCACAGCTTCCTGCTACTGTAAGTTAAGGGTGAATTATAGGGTAACTGCTGATTTCATACACTATGATATAATACAATGCAGTACGATACGATGTGATACAGTACAGTACGATATGATACCGTACAATATAATAGGATAAGATTAGATACGCTACGATAAAATCTGATTCAATACAATACAGTACGATACAGTGTGCTACGATTCATTAAAATGCCATACGATATGATATGATGTAATGCATGGTGCACGATAACGATGATGTTACAATACAGGGATTCTGTGATCGTGAATTATTGCAAGACAATCATATAATGAAACATCACGTTATCTGATTAAAGGGAGAACAAAAAATTCCTCTTCTTCTGTTTTCCCACTATAAACATATTCCTTGTCCTAAATAGAGTAGAGTAGTGACGCAGCGAGTAAAAGGGAGAGACATCTGTTAAGAGCGCTGCATTCTCTCTTAATTTAAATATCGATATTTGACACGAGTGTTTTCAATAAAAAATAATCACAAGTCAGGTCGAGGATATATTGCCATATCAGCATTTTTGTTCCACACCCACTGCTATTAAACTCATAAATGATACCAATAGTGCACAGCTATTTTAGAGTTTATTATGAGACTTTTAGATTTCATCGGTCTGCAAAGAAACAGAAATTGTAGATAAATCCTGAGTGTCATTGATTGGGGTCTGAAGGCATTGTGTTGAGGACTGAGTGAAGCAGAGGCCACAGGAGGTAAAGCAGGACACAGTGAAAGCCTGATGAAGAGGGACAGTGAAGTGTGTTGGTCAAGAATGAGACTCTCTCTGCTACAAGACGCTCCTGCGCAGCGAGAGAGGGAGCCTGTTATTGAATACTGTTGTTGGTTCTATTGTTAAATTACGGCTTAATTCCTTTTCCATCATCATAACCATTTGTTTTCCTTACGGGGAGGAGATAGTGGGGATGAGATCGGGCTCTATGGAGGAGGGAGAAGAAGAAAGAGCAGGCGGAGTTGTTTCTGTGCTCTGACTCTGGTGTTTATGTGAGGAGTATTTATGGCGGCCATCACATCATGACTTCCCCTCTCAGCTGATTCCTGCCATTGGTCAAATTTGACACCTCGTCTCCACCAGACTGAGGCTGCAGCAGTCAGAAACAAGCTGCTTTTTCTCCTGTTTCTCCAAGATAAACACATGAGTATGGACTTTTCTGTTAATCTCTTTTTTTAAATACTCTCTTTTTAATTTAACCCCATCTTTACATGATGATGCCTTTTGAAAAAATCTGCTTTTCTCCTTACAAGGGGTTGTGAAATTGGTACAAATACTTATATTATCCAGAGGATGAATCATAGTTTTTTTTGCTGATCTTCTACTTTACGTCTAAAGCAATAATCAGGTCCACGTTTTATCTTTTCCATATGTTTGTTTACACACAAGAACCTGACAAACACATTACATTCCCATTAGCATTTGAGTGTGTTTAGTGCTAATATATGCTAAATGTTAGAATACTTATACACACAAAACTAAATCAATGACTCTGCACAATTTACCCTATTAGAATAAGCATGTTAGCCACATAAATAGCATGCTGGTGTTAGTATTGCACTGTGCTTACAGCCTCACTGGCAGTCTTTGCTTTTCTATCACATGCTTTTACATCTTTTAAATATTTATACAGCCAACTGTTTCAAAGCACTTCTCCTCTGTGTACGTGTTTGACCCATTCATTCAGCTGTCTGACACATAGTTAAACAAACAGAGCATCACCCATCGCCAAATCTAAAACCCATTCACTGCACCTCAACCAATCCCTCTCCCTAACCCTCCTCCTCTCTTCAGCTGCCCTTGAGCTTTTCTATTACCGCATGGAAAGCACCTCGCAGCCCCTGACAAGCGCGGCGGATCGACACTAAATCAGAAATCAGTGCCAGCCGCAGATCTGAGCCACCATGAAGGTCACAGGCCCCTACACTGCGTGTCGTCTCAATCGGAGGAGCAGCAGTAGACACAGCTAGGGTGATGTGTGACTGTGTGTGTATCTGTGTGTGTTAACAAGGGAGACACTGAGAAGAGGAGAATAAGAAACAGGGGGAAAATATGGAAGCAAAAAATGAAAGTAGAAGTCAAAAGAAGGAAGTGAGACATAAGGGGAAATAAGAAAAATATAGGCTAGTTCAGAGAGGGTTGGAAGTAGAAGAGAAAATACATTAAAATGACAATTCATCTTTCAAGAATTGTACTCCCAATCATGTAAATGAGGAGGAGACATTTGTGAACCTACTTGTTATCTCCAGACTAATGAAGGTTTGAACTTTCCTCTGATCTCATGGGATTGTTACACACTGCCATCTAGCTGAAATAAGGAGTATGACACTATTTAAACACAGGATACATAGTGCTGTATGTATGCACTATGATTCTGTGATTTTAAAATAAATTCCCTCCTCCCATCAAAAATCAAAATATGGTTTAGTTTGTTGACACTGTATTTGGATGTTTAAGCTTCACTGTGCACATTGGTGTTTGTGTAGAGTTTGACACAGAGATACATTTTTTCCATATTGATTTGCTGAACAAACTCACTTAAAATCTTTCTATCATTGTCCAATATTCAATATAAGCTCATGTGGGGCTTGTTTTTTCTCTCACTGTGATACATTTGTGTGTAAATCCTGGAGGCTACACATCTGACTAAATGTCTTTTGGACATTACTAAAGCCCTAATTTTACACAATGTCGAAAGAACAATAAAAACAAACAAAGAAAAAATAAATACAGTTTTAAATAAGAACAAAATAAGCAAGCAGAGAAGGCGAAAATACTGTTAAAAATAGTTTCACTTTTGAGCAGCAATATGTAATCAAGTTTTTTATATTGACCCATGTTAAAAAAATAAATAAAATACTTTTAATGTATTTTGTATGTTTGTGTTCCAGGTGGGAGCAGCACATGCAGTAGGCTAAGGTAAAGGATGTTTTACCTATGTTAGTGTTTACTCTTATGTTAGTTGAACGAAGGCTATTTTTGAACATTTTAAAATACGTCTGATGAGGATTTAGGATAGGATAGGATAGGATAATACTTTATTGATCCCCAGAGGGGAAATTCAGGTGTTGCAGCAACACAGACAAGTAATGTTCAAAATACACATTAAACAGAATAGATAAGATAAATAAAAATAAAAGTAGGGGGTATATAGAGTGCAAAATGAATGATGAAGTTAACTATGCAGGGATATTGAGACAGTATTTGCAGAGAATGACAAGATGAAGTGACAAGTGATGATTAAAGTGACTTAGTATGATAAAATAGCAGCAAGTAATGTAAACAGCAGAGAAGAGAGGCAGTGTTGTACCACAGTAATGCAGAGTTCAGTTATATAATATAATATAATGTAATATAGTGCAATATGAACAATATAGTGTAATATAATGAAATGTTATATAATATAGACTAGTATAATAAAATATATAGAATGTACAGTATATATGTATTGATGCTTAATAATAATAATAATAATACAATTTCCAAGCCAAACATGATTACTAGATACAATAACACACCTAAAAGTCGAGTTTCCTTCAAACTGAACCATTAAAACAAATTGTTTGTTGTCTACAGTTGTTTGTACTCACGTTCCACGCGTGTCGGCCTGAATGAATTATGTCCAACCGAGGCTTCCGTAGTTTGAGTCACATGAATGGTTTGTTGTGATCCTCCTGACTCAAACGCACCTTTTTTTTTTAATATCATGTAGCTAGCCAACAAAACGATGTGTTCGTAACCGTACATGTCTCAGTCTTGTATAAATTATTCGCCTAATTAAAAAAAAAGAAAATCGCGAAACAATCTTACAAAGACGATAAACGCGTTAAAGCGGAAGAGATTCAGGTGACTGTTTGTTTACATGTTTACGTGTCTGCGCCTGTAACGCGAGCTTGTTTGTTACAGTTTATGTTTGCTCAGGTACATGCTAAGCTTTGTTTCTGACACATAGGAAGATAAAATGTAAAGTGGCTTCATTCTTCTATTTAAACGTATCTCGCTGAATAAAAACGACGTCATGTTCCGGTGGATTCTTGGGGGTCGAGAGGCTCAGGGTTCAGTTGAGGTAAGATTCATTCAGACCTCATCTTTATACTCATGTGAGAGTGCTTTACTTACCTGCGTTTCACTCTTTATTTACATGATGAATCAACGTTTCATGAGTGCTCAGGCTACTTCTGTACACATCCATTAAACCTGCAGTCACTTTAAAGGGGACACATCATGAAAAATCCACTTCCACAGTGTTTCTGAACATATGTTTGGGTAACCTGAGGGTCTTCTGACCCACAAAAATGTGAAATAAACCCATCCAGTTCTTCGTTTGTGGTCTGCATAAGTCTTAAAACACAGAGCAAAAATGCACCGTTTCAAATTTGCTCTCCTTGTGATGTCACAGTGGGATTCTGGTGTCTCCACCAATGGACTCCACCCTCAGCCTAGAGCTAAACTTTTGCACATGTCCGCCATTTAAAAAAATTTGTTTATGGGAGTGTCTATTCAAGAAAGGGAGGTCGAATGGACTCCGGCTTCCTTGTGCATTAAAAATCAAAATGTTCTGTGAAGTTTAAGGGAGGGGGCAGGGGCATGGGGAGGGGCATGGGGAGGGGGAGGGGAAACATGTCTTGAACCTGAAGACTTCTGAAGAGAGGCAGACGGGGAAGATAAATAGTCACGCTGTTTTTTTTTTTTTTTTTAAATTGCAACATTTTTGGACTCTCTAATCTTAAACAATGCGTTGTATTTAATAAGCTTGTTAGAGCTGCAATAACAATGTGTTCATTATGGATTCAGCTGCTGATTAATGGTTTAGTGTATGAAATCAAAACGTGGGAAAGTTCACAACTGTTTCCCAGAGCACAAAGTGAAGTCTTTGAATTACTGCTTCTTTTCTGGGCAGGGGGTCATTTTGGGCATTTATCCTAGAGATAGGACAGTAGGTAGTCAGGAATCAGAGCGAGAGAGAGAGAGTGGGGGGTGACATGCGGGAAAGGAGCCACAGGTCGGATTTGAACCCGGGCCGACTACCCGGAGGTCTACAGCCTGCGCCAGAATTCCTCCTGCTGTCCAACCAACAGTCCCAAACAAAAAATATTCTTAATTTTCTGTCACATTTCACAAAGAAAGCTGCAAATCCTTACATCAGAGAAACTAGAAGTAGTTCATTGTTTTTTAAAGTCTGACCAAGCTTATAATATTGTTCTGAAGTAAAAGCTTTATTTGAAAGAGACCTTCACAGAGAGGTTGTGAGATCTTTTGATACTTTTTGAAGCAACAACTGCCGATGTTTTAATGATCTATTGAAAAGCTTTAAAGACAAAAAAAAAAAGTAATCTTTATAAAGCAAAAGTTGCAGCAAGAGAAAGAGAGACAGCAACGTCTAAAATACACAAATATGTCGGCTTCAGTACCAAACAATGCCGATGTATTTTTTTTTGTTGCAATTTTGACAGTGTGAGGGAGTTTGCTTGCAGTTTGGTCCTCATTAAAATACAAGAAGTGACTCATGTCGGGATCCGGACTTCTGTTTTTGCTGCCATGGTGTCCAAACAGTCGTCGACATTGTTTGATGTGAGCCAGAAGTTTTAAAGCTGGGGTCATCTTGACGACCTCCGCTTCACAGTTGTATAAATACAGTGCCGTAAAAAGGACATTATTCCCTCTGAAATGTTGTACTTCAGAGGGTGTAAAGTAGTAGAAAATGGAAAATACCTAAACACTCTTAGTCCCACTGTCAGCTCAGCCTGTTTGTCTCTCTCCTCTCCCACCCCCCACCCCCCCCCCCGTGTCTTGCAGAAAAGCCCGTGTTGTGCATCGGAGAGGAACAGCCCAAAAACTGGTTCACTGAGCTGCAGGTGCTGAAAGGACATTTTGACATTGTTCGATTTCTGGTGCAGATTGATGACTTCAGGTAAGCAGACCACGACCCAACACTCCCCCCCCCCCCCCTCTCTTTCTAACCTCTCTCCTCTCTACCCTTGGCTGGCCTCTATCCCTTCTGTGATTGACAGGAGATCCTCACCTACAGCAAACTTACAGAGCATGACAAGAGCCCAATCATCACCACTGTGTGATTGTGTGTGTGCACAGTACAGTAGAAGCCGAAAGCCTTAATGCTGTGTCCACACACACACACACACACACACACACACACACACACACACACACACACACACACACACACACACACACACACACACAAAGCTTTTTGCACCTGCTCTCCTTTGTGGAAACATGCTACACACCGGCATGCTACAGTGGCTCTGCATAAGTGGCCAGATTGGGATTTATAACAGAACTAAGCATGTGTAGTGTGTGTGTGTGTGTGTGTGTGTGTGCTTGTGCTTGTTCACGCCTGGTCTCCTCCAGTAATAACCCCCCTCCTCTGGGGTCTCGTCCTCTCCGCACACAGGTCCACAGTCGGGGGGCAAAGGCCAGAAAATTCTCTCCAGATTGCTTTTGAAGTCTGAAAAAAATGTATCCTCGACAGTTCCCTCTTCTCATTTTATCTCTCTCTCTCTTTTTTTTTTATCCGCTCATCCTGTCTGTTGATTTTGCGAGCGGGTAGTGTGGACGCCTGGGAGTCAAAGGCCAAGTGGAGGTGTAAAAACCAGCAGAACAGATGTTTTTTTTTGAAGGTTTCTCAGGTGGAGATGGAGCCACGGGAAGTTATTTCTCGCACAGATAGAGATTAACCGGGTAAATTCGCTGCCAAGTGCACATCTCCGCTGAAATGGAGACTCCACTCGCAAGAAGCGTCTCATATCTGTTATTTTCTTTCTCTCTCTCTCCCAGGTGTGCCTCGGCAGGGGACGACGGCCTCGTTCTGGTGTGGAATGTCGAGGTAATACTTTGCAAGTTGATGATTTCACTGCATTGTGAAATTGCACACTTCACAACAAACCACTAATTGCTTTTTACATTTTTTTTTTCTCTCTCTCTCTCCTGCTAACTGTTAGACCGGAGAGCGGCTGCAGGAGCTGAGAGGCCATTCCCAGCAAATCACCGCCATGACCACCTTCACCTGCAATAACGGAGCCCTGCCGCACACGTCGCTCATCACGGCCTCCTCGGACAAGAGTCTCAGCGTATCCTTGTGTCAAAAAACAAATATCATGTTATTGTTGTGATTGTGTCGTTTTTCTTAACGTTTATTATTTGTCAGCTGTGGGATCCTGACACTGGGAACAGGGTTCAGACCATTTCAGACCTCCAGTCCTCTGTGAAGGTGAGTCATGAAGCCGTTTTTTAATTATGTCTCGTTAAGTACTGGTTTTTATTTTACACCTGGTTTGGATGAACAACTTTTTTATTCCTTTAGTATTTAAAAAAGGGAAATCATAGATAATGTTTCAAACCCATAAAAAAAACAGTAGGTATAACGTAACACTAGGGTTGTCATCATGATGCTACATTTTTAAACATCGATATGATTCTAGTCAAGAACAATGACGATACCACAGATAGATAATAATCCTAGGTGCCTAATACTGGGTTCCATCCATCCATGTCTACACCGCTTTTTGCCGTTTAGCGTTTAGCTCTGACTGGAGCTGATCCCAGCTGCCATTGGGTGAGGGTGTGGGGTACACTCTAGACCGGTCACCTGTCAATCACATTCACACCTACAGGCAATTCAGAGTCATAAATTAACCTAACGAGCATGTCTTTGGACTGTGGGAGGAAGCCAGAGTACCTGGAGAGAACCCACAAACTCCACACAGAGAGGCTCCTGTCCGACGGGGATTAGAACCAGGAACCTCCTCGCTGTGAGGCGTCAAACGTTAACCACTGCACCCTTGCAGCCCCTGTACTGGGTTATTTTCTTGTTTTTCATTTCCAAACATTGCAGGCAAACGGGGCGCCAGATAGACTGGCAGTCATGTCGTGTTATGCCCATGTACAGAGGCAATAGTCCTCATGGCAGCTCAACCCTTTGCTACATGTCATCCCCACTCTCTCCTCCCAACACTTCCTGTCTTTCTTCAGCTGTCCTATCCAAGTACGACCAAAAAGGACCCCAAAAGACCTTTAAAAAATACATCAATAAATGCAGAACTCCTGCACACCGTCTAAATTGCAGAAATACGTCCGGCAATGTTTTAGTTCTGAAATGTTGGCAACATATTTGTGGAACTTGAGACACTTCTTTCTCTCTCTTCGCTCGCTGCAGCTTTTGGTTCAAAAAGTCAAAGAAGATGTGAAGTTCTCAAAGCATAATTTCTTTTCGATACCCTCCATCATTTAAAAGAATCCAGACTGTAACGTTATAAAAGAAGTTGTGTTTAAAGTGTTAGGGTGTCGGTACAGTGTTCAGCATGATGCGGTCCTTCACGTTAGATTTTCTTGGTTATTCCATTGTGTCATCCGGCTGTGGGTAATTAACTTTGTATTGGTTGGATGTCTTACATACTAATTAAAATGTTTGTCGCTAAAGATTGTTCTGCCAGCGATGATTTAAGATAAAAAGGCTAATTAACTCCTCCTGATCACAGATTAAGGTTAATTACAACATCCATAGGCTAATTCTATTTGACTTCTTTTCCTCCGCTGATTTTTCTGAGAGCGTGTGACCGAATCAGAAAGGATCATATGTATGTTTTTAACGAGCTGATAAATCTGTGCATCTCACTCAGTGTCTGCTGGTGCTGGAGCGGCTGTGTGTGTGGGTCTCTGGTGGCGAGGAGCTGTGTGTGTGGAGCAAAGACTTCCAGCTGCAGTGTCAGAGACAGAACCACAGCGACACAGGTGAGGACAAACAGAAGGAAGAGTGACTGTCATAAAAAGAACGCTCCCAACACATGCTCACCCTCTGACCTGTGTGTTTGCTCACATTCTGACATTCTGCAGGAGTAACTGCTTTGATTGAGCTGCCGAAGAACTGCATCGCAGCGGCTATGGATAAAGTGATCGGTAAGAGAGCGGGTTTCTAACAAGGATGTGCTGTAAGGCAGACTATCTACATTTTTTTGGGATTTTATATACTTCATTTATTCATGCTTATCACGCACATAGACCTGAATCACACACATACACAAACAGGACCTGTGGACATGCATTAGTACGGGAGTGCCGCAAGGGTCTGTACTTGGTCCACTGTTGTTCTCAATGTACATCAACATTCAAGTCCAACCTGCAGCTCTCTCTTCCTGATTTCCTACTCTATCATCTGTCCTTTCTAAATAAAGACAAAAAAGCCCAAAATAAATCATTTTTTTCCGGTGGCCATTAAACTGATTTAAAAAAAAAAAGGATTGTTATAAGGAGAAAACAATCTTTACTCTTTGGCTTCAAAACGGGGATGGATGCTGGGAAAACAGGGTTACTATTCTATTCTACTATCCAATATTCTACTATTCTGTTCTATTAATGTAGTACATTTTTATAGAAGAATAAGACTGACCTTTATGTTTCATTATTTCTTGTCAGTGATCTACAGGCTGACAGTCTCGACTGATTCCTCTCTGTCCATGTCTGAGATCCGCTGCCTGTCCGACCACCAGGACCAGGTCCGAGCTCTGATCAACATCAACGGTCAGTCTGTTAGAAAATCAAAAAGTCTGCATTCCCTTCATTAGAGAAAATGAGTGTCCATTTATTAATTACAGAGGAGAATAGACAAGTTAGGAATGCAGGAAAACCATCCACATGGAGAGCAGAAGAGACGGAAAAGAAATCCCCAAAACCCCCTCAGTTCTGATCTGACGATATCAACGTGAAAGTGCAGAACAGTCAGGTGTTAGAATCTTTTAACTCCACTTATCGTGGGTCTTAAGTTTTATGTGTACATAATAGAGTCTTCTGATCTTCTCACTTCCTCAGACGGCCTCTTTGCCAGCGGCTCTCACGCAGGCGAGTTGATCTTATGGGACGCGGTCGATTGGAACATCCTGGCCTACGAGCACATCCTGTGGGAGAGTCACAGACCCCTCCCTCAAACTGAAATACGCATAGGCGCTCCTAAACCAGTGAGATGTCCATTCAGCACCTGACCACCAACGGGAAGGTGAGGAAGACCGCATGGGAGATGTTACCTGTTGTTATATTTATTGTTGTTTGTTGATTTTGAATAAGAACACTTCGATGTTTGTGTGTTTTTCGCAGCTCATCCTCGCAGCAGTGGGCAGCGGCCTGTATGTACAGCGTTCAGACAAAGACAGTGGTGGCCTACAGGAAGGTGGCACATGACTCGAATGTTTTACACACCATGCTGTTGTCTGACAGGTAAATATATAATTCCCCAGGTGTTTGACTGAAAGACTGAGGAAGGCAGTAGGATTCATCTAAAATAATTAGTACTCAAAGTTCAGAGAAATTGAGACAAAAGGATTGAGAAATGACTCCAAGACTGGGATCCACTGTTGTAAACTGATGTTGCACTGCACTTGTCCTCCACATGGGGGCGCACCTGCTCTCCTTCTTTGCTTTGACACAAAACAATGATTTGATTAAAGCAGCTTTTTCAGGGTTTGTTCATCTCATATTAAAGCTCCTGATGGCTCCTATGGAAACACAAATTACACAATCAAACACATATTTATATTTAAATAATGTGTGTGCACTAAGTAAGGTTTGAAAGGTTCAGGATGTGTTGATTTGATTTCTTAGCTCGCAGCAGCTTTGGGATAAAATCTAATTTAAGATTTGTAGTTTTTATTTTAAGCCCTGATTCTTTATCATCAAAAAAAAACAGATGTATCGTTTGAAACGTGTGGTATTGAAAAACTATATTTAAAATTAGACTTTAGGCAAATTATTTCATCAGTTATCCCTTAGTTAAGATTCATTTTATTTAACAGGTTTCCTATATGAAGGATACAGTGTCCTCTAACTGTGTCAGCATGTGTTCCCCCTAAAACATTCAAATGAAGATGATCTCATCCAGTAACAAGTTTTGTCTTATTATGAAAGATGATTTTCTTGTTTTGCATCTTAAATCCGTGTCTCTATTTCAGCGAGCTCATGTCGTGCTCTGAAGACGGCAGTGTGAGGATGTGGGAGATCCAAGACCTCCCTTTACCTGCAGAACCAACCTCTCCAGGTGACACACACACACACACACACACACACACACACACACACACACACACACACACACACACACACACACACACACACACACACACACGGTTAATGGACTTGAGCTTGTAGAGCGCTTTTCTAGTCTTCTGACTACCCAACGCCCCTTTGACACTGCAGGTCACACCCACCCAAACACACACAGATGGCAGAGGTTTCTTTGTTAATGTAAACCATCAGAATGACCTAATCCCATTCATATACATTCATACAAGCAGCGGGAGTCATTTGGGGTTAAGTGTCTTGCCTGAGGACACATCGGACATGATGCTGCAGGAGCTGGGGATTGAACCCCCGACCTTCCAGTTGACAGCCACAGCCATCCCCCCTAAATATGTAATAAATAGAAATGTAACATTTCAAACAGGATGATAATTCTATCTAAAAGAGCCATCGTCTCATATCCTCCTGTGGATTTTCCAACTAGAGATAAAACATTGACACATCCAGAGATTGATGTCATGTTGTCACACTGAGTAAAAAAGAGTGCTCTCAACGTTTGTGTGTATATAGCTGAGTGTCTGGGTGGTGTAGAGGTCTTGCAGTAATGCAGTCCAGGTGTGGTGTAGTGTAAATCAAAGGAAAGTGTGCAGGACCAGCAGCACTCAGAGAGGTGGTGAAGTGGTCAGGCGTCGAGCGTGTGTTCATGCTGCTTTGAAGGTCCGGTTGTATAAAGTCGGTGTAGTATAGCTGTGGGGGATTTTAAATAAGTCCTCGAGTCTGGTAAACTGTATAAAAGAGTTACTGTAACTTCAGCTGGATACTTGAGGTAGTGTGGCTGCTCAATAGGCAACACGTGCAGTTTGTACTCAATCGACCGTTCTGTCTTTTGTCCTCTTGAATCCGTCTAACCAGGCTTCTTTGGGATGTGGACTTTCGGCCGATCGAACAAACAGAGCGGCCCTCCTTCAAAGAAACCCGCAGACGTCCCTCACGTCAGGACACTGGAGCTGACGGGGGATCTGATCGGACACTCGGGGGCGGTGCAGGTAAGATTTTGTTAACTAATTGTAAGCTAATGCAAATATGATGTCACAGTAGTGCTTAAAGTTATCTATTTCTTTGGGTCAGATGTTTGTGAGCTTCAAGGAGAACGGATTGGTCACCTGTTCGACGGACCACCTGCTGATTCTGTGGAAGAACGGAGAGAGGCAGTCCCACCTGCGCAGCCTGGCGCTTTTTCAAAAACTGGAGGAGAACGGAGGACTCTGACTCGACGTTTGAATCGTCTAATTTGTAAAAATTTGCTGCCTTAAGAACAAAGGAGAGATGTAAAGTTGTGGTGTTGATGTTGTTGAAAAAACGATTTGAATTGACTGTAATGATCGTCGTCTGCACGCCATGATAACGTGATGGTTGTTGTTTTGCCTTATGACTGAAAAAAGTTAAACTCCAGTAAATACCTCATCTCAGAAACACGCTGTGTGCTGTATTTTTATTTCCACATTTGATTTGAGACATCTTGAGCAGAATATTTTTCCTCTGATGACGTGTCATGTTCTGAAGGCCTCTCGGGGATTAGCCGGCGTTTAGACGGCTGCTGCTGTCTAAGCACTGCCTCATTTTTAGCCTTTTAGCCTCTTCATATTTAGCGTTTAAGCCTGTTCCACAGCTCTCTATTGGGAGATTTTGGTGTTTTTCAGCACAGTCTGTTAGGCTCCTTGACCAGCAGTTGTCCTAAAAGCTGCTGCTTTGTTGAGCAGGAAACTATGGAAGCCCATTTCTGCCAGTTAAAAAAAAAAAAATGAAAACTTGGCTTTGTTGAGGTTTTTTTTTTTGACTATAAAAAATTATGAGATAATGAAATAAAAACGAAATTATGAGAGAAAAAAGAGACTTTTTATCTCATTACTATGACTTTATTATCTCTTATATCTAATTTCCACTTTTATTTTTTTAACTGACAGAATTGGGCTTCCATAGAAAACACATTTTTGGACAGAAATAGTCTGCACTCATTTCCTGGGAAAAGTTCATCTTCATCGGGGGTGGAGGGGTGGAGTTACAGGGTGAATCACTCCCATGATTCCCCGCCCAGCCTCGACATCATCTTTTGTTTATTGCATTGATTGATGGAGAGCCCCCTGGTGGCGGAATCTACATACTGCGCCTTTAATGTAACAACACCATTTCTTATAAGAATGCTTTAATTTTCTCTCACAATACATTTTGTGTTTGACAGAACATGAAATAAAACAAGAGTCTGAAGAGCAAACTAAAATATACAAACCAACATTTTAGAGTGATGGAAAGCTTTGTTCACTTCGTAGCACGAGGCAGTGAAAATCTCTCAGAACAAGATGTACTGTTCTCTCATCATCGGCAGTGTTTTGTTTTGTTCAAATCAGTCTGTGTTCGAGGCTCGTGGTTTCACACGCTGTCTTACAGTCTGGTTTCTGCCTCAGTGGACTCAAAGCGACTTTCTCGTCTCATTTCTATCATCACATCACAGTCAGTGCTGCTCACACAGAAGGCATGGTTTTACACGTTAATCTCAAATATTTCAATCGTCTCTGTGGATGGAAATCTAGCAAAAAACATCTTCTCATGATCACAGGAAACATTCAGAGGTGGAGACACTGAAAAAATTTAAAAACATTGTCTTTTTAGGAAATAATCACCTCTGCAACGTAAAACAACCAACACAAGAGAAAAGGTAACGTTTGTAAAAAGCAAAAAAAAAAGTTAATAATGTGAGTCTGTACAAGGACAGCAGATAGCTTACAGTGTATTGCAACAATAGCAGACATCAACACTAAGACGAGACAGTTTAAGGCGTCGATTAGGAATCTTTGTCATTCATAAAAAAAAAAAACACTGAACATGGAGGTGACCAGCTCTATCTCTTTACAGCAAACAGAACAAAAACAAAAAACAAAACAATGAATGAGTTCCCGTCTGAGATCTCAGGATATCTCAAAGTTTTTCAAAACAGAATAAGAGGAAAGTTGACGCTTACGGAAGCCCTAAGGGGACATGAATTCATGGGGTCAGCAATATGTTCCCTCAGCATCAGGGCTGTTCTTCTATAATGCACGTGACATGTTTTGCACGTACCCCTCCCTGTTAGTGTTGTAGTACTCGATATTGGTCTTGGTCTCGAGGGACTTTTGAAAGTCTCGTCTCAGAATTGAATTTACTCCGTCTTGTCTCGGTCTCAAACTGGTTGGACTCCGGATTTTAATTCAAGACCACCACTGAACGGCTACTTTCCACATCATCACCTGGTAAAGAAGGGAAAACAGCCCCTTTCTAAAAAAAAAACAAATAACTTAAATTAAGTTAGTTTTTGGATTTTTAACACCCGTTACAGCTGCAACCTTCCTGGTGATACGGTCTAAGTTTTAATTCTTATACGTGTGCATTAGTCTCTCAATGATTTTATCAATGATTTTATAAACTAACTGTTCACTCTCTGTAAAGCACTTTGAACTGCAATTTAATTTGTCTGAAAGGTGCTGTATGAATAAAGTTTGATTGATTGATTGATTGATTGATTGATTGTGATTGATTTGACGTGCCGCTGCGCACACAAGATGATGGTTTTCAGTGATGTTTATGGTCTTAGTCTTGACTCAGTCTATGTCCCTAAATGTCTCGGTCTCGGAGCACTCTGGTCGGGTTTATTTTGGATATGTGACCTTGTATTCATTGCTGCAGAAAAGCTGAGGGAACATAGACACGCTCCTGTATGAATCCAAACTATTTATTTATTTTAGTTTTCCTGTGATGATGAATCATTTCTACAGCTCGTTTAGTAATCCAAAGATAACGAGATAAACAAAAGGAGGTTTCTAGAAGACAGCTGATATAAACAGAGTCATTATCTTGAGATTAATAAGTCAAGATCTTCAGGAAAAAAACCCATAAATCACTCTTTACTCCTCATCACAGCACAAAAGAGTCAAATAAAAATGTATGAAGGCATGTCCACTTAGGGCTTCCGTAGGACAACTTCTTAAAGGTATCTCAAACATGTATGGCTTTGAGAGGAGAGCCGGGGGAAAAGAAAACACCTTCATCTGGGTATAAATCACCGAAGACTAAGGCACCTGTGCCTTTGGTTGATACAGTGATTGTGTTTTCTGAACAACACACACACACACACACACACACACACACACACACACACACACAGCATCATGTCCTCCCTTTTTCATTCATGAGCATAGTTTAGAAGAGAGTGTTGATAATGGAGCCGTGAATAGGAAATAATAAAAGCTCAAGTTGTTGATGGATATCTGCAAATGATCCACTAATCACGACTTCACTTTAAAAATGTTTTATGAAATATACCATCAAGAGGATGCTGGTCTCATTGAGCTTTTAAAATGTCATAAAAGTTCCCTCAAAGAAGTTTTGCCACAACAATTTTTTTTCGTTCTCGTAGATTTATAACAAAATTGTTTCTTACATTTACGAGTTATTCGGTCTGTTAAGATTCAGGAAACTATTTAATAAAAAGTTGATTATGTTCCCAAATAGCCCAAGATGATGATGTCATATTTCCTTCACAAAGATGTTCAATGGTGAATAAGGAGTGAAGTAACCCGACAGAAGAAGCTGCTGAAACGGTTTTAAAATAGTGAATTAATTGTCAACTCTTTGAGAGATTGTTGCAGATATATTAGGAGGTGACATATCCAACAACCAAACAGTAACACTGTTTCATTTCTGACTTTTTTTTAAGCTGAAAAATTCAAATCAGATGTTACAAATGATGCATGTTAAGTGTGCCTCTCCTGCAGTACTTCCTTGTAACCACCAGAGGGCAGACACATCAAATAAATCTCCTCATCTGAACAGGCTTCTCTTGTCTGTTTCTCTAAATGCAAATCATATCAAACAACACTGGACTGGACTTCTCTCCGCTGCAGGGTTTGAGATCTTGTAAATTAGTGTAACAAAAAAAAAACAACAAAAAAAACATGTTTAAGCCGGAGTTTGGCTTTGCATCAGCTGGATCATAAAATTGTTCTGGAGCTCATTCATACTTCCT